GCTCTCAGACATCTATGATTAAGTGATCAATGACTGCACATTGCTGCTTTTAATTTATATGACTTTTGCCCTGGGCTGGGGTTGGCTCTCACAAATGGACATGAATATGAGCCTTGTGACAATAACTGGTGGCTAATATATCAGAGAAACAAAATAGAAACGAAGATTCTAGGTATGATGAGACACATCTGGGAAAAGACAGGCAAATACACTCTTTCTGAACCCTTATATTAGATAAACAGGAATGTATCTAGAGAGAAAAGTATGTTTTAATGCAATGCACAACACTAAATACAATTTCCCTGCATCTTGAGGAAGCTCTCAGTTGAAAGTTGCATTTTGAAAACAAAGGGAACTTCTCAAGCCAAGCTTCCAAGAACAACCCGTATTTCTTCTAATTAAGGAAGGTGGTTTAGTACTCACCCACCATCAAGAAGAAGATGAATGAAGAGACTGCAGATCTATAGAGTTTCCCAATGTGCTGGTCCATGGTTGCTGAAGTAGCTGGCCTCACCATCTCTCCCTCTGGTAGTACGGGTAAAAAATATGTGTGTATTATAGCAATGGGACCTCACATTCTGCCTAGTGAATGTCACACTTACTAAAGTTACCACAGCTTTGAGCTCACAGTGCTCTGCCTGCTCCCTGGATGAGAGCCACGTTGCAAGTGACAACAATTATTTCCCCAGCGGCTGTTCTGATCTCTCTCTGAGAACATGTTGAAAATGCTCTGAGAGCAGAGGGAAGATAATACATTGTTTTTTGCTTTTGGCTTGTATAGACCACAACTTTGGGCTGAGTAGAGAATATCCAGATACTCCAAAGGAGACCACTCCTTGTGCTGAACCCCTCCCCAGTGATGGTGAGAACACAAAGAGCATTGGCTTAATTTTCTGAACAGCCAGACTCTAATGCACCACATTATCACCCTAATGCACCACAAAAGGAAACTTCAGGAACTCAGTATCTTTGTGGCTATGTGCACATGGTGTTTACAGGTTAAGTGTATTCCCCAAAGTGTTTTTTTAGTGCAGAACAAATCCTTTTTCATCAAAAGTTGACTACTTAAACTCTACTTATATTTAAGTAGAGCTTGTCTATGCAACTTGGGTGGAGGGGGAAACTGCTGGAGAGGGCGGCCTATCTGCAAAACCAGCAGGTGTGCTCTGAAGTAGTCTGTGTTTATAGAAAGCCCACACAGAGCAGGACACTGTGAGAGGAGCTACAGCAGCTCCAAGCCCCACCTGTACCACCCAGCCCTGCCAGCTGTGCTGTGCCTGTACCAAGCATGGACTACTGTCACTATCTGGCTGATGCCTCTTACCTCAACTGCAGGATTAGGGACTATGGCATACTTTATCTAATGATCTTCCATATCTTCAAAGCTCTCCAGGAAATGGAATTGTGCTCGAGGGTCCAGTAAAGACTCAATTCCATAACTCTTAAAGCACAATGCAGCTGAGAGAGGCATGAGTATTTCTGCTTTTCTTTGCATTTGAAAGCCAAAAGAATCCATAACTGATTGACAAAACTTGGGTCACCAATGTCAAGAAGAACAGCCCATTCCTGGAGTCACCAGTTGTCACTTAAGCTTTGGTGCGCAGATCCCAAAGCAGTGGAAGCAGTGAAAGCAGGATGGGCTAGAGGGAGTATGGTTAAAAGAACCTAGGAGACAAATACTTTTCTGAAATGGCTTGGGAGAGTGGGAAGGCCTGTGATTACCAGGCAGGAATCATATTAGGAAGGGAACTGGGACCAAGTGTAGAACAACAGAGCACTTCAAAAGGAAGATGGAAGTTTGTGAGGGTCTTCAAAGGAAGTACTGCCAAAGTGTTAGTGAGCAAAGCCAAAATATCCGTGAAAGGAAAAGTCAGAGGAGTCAAAAACAATAAAGAGTTTGATGAGGGAACAACCAGTAGAGTCGAAGGCACCTGGCAGATCATGAGGATTTTGGACTGAGTTACTGGTTTAGAGTGCTGATTGTGACTTTGTGTCAGAGGAGTCAGCATGCAAAGATGGATCTGAACCAAAGGCAATCCAAACACTGCCTGATTTAAACCAAATACTTGGTGTGCTTCAAAAAAAACTCTTCAAGTGTGTTGTCATGGACATACCACCACTGCTCCTGCAAATGCTATTTATGTTCATGTCATCCAGAACTAGCAATTCTTTTGTGAATCCTCCATTAAGTAGGTCATGCCTGAGCCAAAGTGCCAGGTCAGCCAGCTTTTAACTGAGGGAATACAATGGAGGTTGGTTAGTGTTGCTGGCACCAGTAGCTGAGCATGAAGTTTCTCTCACTTGAATAAGCCAGTACGATTCAGTTTTTGGACAAGAAGAAAAATAAACCGATACCCTGAGTGTTGTTGAAAAAGCCCCCAAAATTCAAGTTTCAGGTGCAAATCAAGAAAGCAAGGAACAAAAATGAAACAAACCACACATTCTTTTTTACACTCTGTTGTAAATTTAATTAAGCAGTTGCTTGGATTAACGCTGTCCTGTCTGGGCCAACAGATGGGATGGGGTGTCACCCACGGGACTTCAGGTACTTTTTCTAATGTAGCAGTGAGCAGGTATCACAGCACCCTGAGATGTCCAAAGGGAGCCTCCACGCATTTCCCGGGGAACAGGCAGAGAGAAAGGGGAAGAGGTAGAGAGAAAGGGGACAACAGAAGGAAGTAGCATTGACACAACAGGCTGCTTTACCCATCCATACTTCATCCATCCATCCATCCATCCATCCATCCATCCATCCATCCATCCATCCATCCATCCATCCATCCATCCATCCATCCATCATCTACCAGCCAACTACCTAGCAATGTGATTTCTTTGCACATCATAGGGCTCTCCTTTTTCCTGTGAGGTGAGCTGAGGGTGCAAATCTGTGAGCCATGGTCGCTCTGGCTGGGTGCCCTGATTTGAGAAGCTCTCCGGGTGCTCAGAGACTGGGGCAGAAACCACTCGGCGCTGCTCAGCAGCTTCAAAACTGAGACCCAGGGTTTCTTGGGGTGAAAACCCCCTCACTGCCTTTATGTCACCTCATCCTCCGCTCGGCCCGCAGCCAGCCTTTCCCCCTCTCCCCCTAGGAGTCCCCCCGGAACGGCCTCTCGGCAGTGTTTTCCGTCGAATCCCACGAACCCAGGATTTGGGAGCCGTTTCGCTGCCCGGGCGCTGTTTAACCGGCTGCGCTCACGGAGAGCGGCGGGCGCGGGACTCTCCTCGGGCAGGAGGCAGCGAACGCCGCCCTCCCTCCCTCCCCGCAGCCGGGAGTTTTTTCCTACTACAGCCCTTAAAGTTTCCACCGGCGCGGAGACTTTCCAGTTAACCCCTGCGGAAGCCGCAGAGGGGCTGCCGCGGCCGGACGAGGAGGGCACCGTAAGCGCCTCAGCGCTCTCCGCCTCCCATGACGGCTCCCCCTCCTCGGGAGCAGCGACGCCGCTCGCCCCTGGCAACCTCCTCCCGCTGCGGGCCGGCGGCGCGGCCGGCGCCGGCCCCTTTAAATGGCGGCCGCGGCCCCGCCGTGCGCCCCGCGCAAGCAGCTGGCGGGTGCCGCGCGGCCCTCGCCCCCCTCCATGGTAAGCGCCGCGCTCTGCGCTCCCTGCCTGCCCCTCCGGCGGGCTCTGTGCCCCCGGCCGCCGCCCCCCCGGGCCAGCGGAGGGCCCCCCAGGTAGGTGCGGGGAGCGGCAGCCCCGCTCCCTTTCCGGGCACCCGCACGGGCGGGCCCCGGACGGGCGGCGGCGGCGCGGCCCCGCTGGCAGCGCTGGGAAGCTCCGCCGTCCCCACCCACCTCCCCAAAGTTTTTGGGGCGAGGCGGGGCCGGGGGCAGGGGGGCCCTCGGGGCTCCCCGATGAGGGGAGCGGCGAAGGCCCCGCGGGGTCCCCGCAGGGAGGAGCTGGGCTCCCGGGAGAGCCAGCGGGGAGGCGGCCGCGGGGCTGCCGGGCAGCCGCTGAACCCCGGCGTTTTGGTGGGGAGGAGCGGGCGGGCAGCAACTGGTGGAAGTTGCAGCGAGTGCGGGTGTTGGCGTGGAAAAGCCCCGCGGGGGCCGCTCTGCTCTCATCCCACGCAGCCCGGAGTGTCTCTGCCTTTGCCTCGCTCCGCTGTCCCCTCCGCAGCCCGTCCCCAGCCCGGGCCGCGGCCCCGGCAGCGCTGGGCGGGGTAGCCCAACACCCTCTCGGTTCTGAGCTGGTTTGGAGTTGAAACACAGCGTTACCTCAGCCCGGCGGATCCGGTACTACAGGCGGGGTTACTGGTTAGGGCCCTGGGCTGGTTTTGTACCGTTTGCTAGCTGGGATGGCACAAGTGACGTTCCGTGGCTCAGTTTCCCTTCATAAAGTAAAACTGACTTCCAAAGTGAAGAATACTGATAACAATGGAGAGTGCTACAGAATTAGAAAACAGTGCTGCTTATTATCTTAATAGTGTTATGAGTCAAATTACTTGTCTCTGAGGTGTTTGTATTTCTGTACAATTTATAGTGTAACTAACAGTACGTATAAACACTTGATGTATCAGTATTATAATAATATATGTCAGTACTCTGGTAAAAATGCTACACCTGTATGACATTTCTCAAGTTCTGAAAGGTCTCACAGGTTCCTGAGACGTGCTGCATATTAGGCACCGATGTCTTGTGTTGATATTATTTGAGTTCTAAGTATCTGTGCAGCTTTAACATGCAAGATGGGGAGGGGAAAGTGCGCTGGAAATAAAATACTTTGATAAAAAATGTAAAATATAATTAAATATAGTGTAGTCTAGGGGGAACAAAATAAAACCGATGAAAAAGCTGTCTGTGGTAGTGTTTCCATGCCACTCACCTTGGTGAAATTACCATGTCAGGTTTCATTTAATATACAGCTGTTAAATGGACTAACCATCTTGTTTCACCTTTCTCCACCACTGCTGAATTACATACCTTACTTCTTTGTTCACAGGAAGTTCATGAAGTGGATCATGGTCTTATTAACCAGCTACTTGCTGATTCAGAGGAGACTCTTAATTCATGCACAGAGAAAATGCAGGGTCCTGCTCAGTATAGCTGGAGTGCTGACTGGAGCTTTTGGGTAATCTCTGCTAACTTGGCTTTAATTTATAAATATAATACCTGTCTGTTTTAATTTGCATGTGTGTGTATATGTACAAGTTTTATATCCACAGTTCTCAAGTTGCTTTGTAGTCATGAATTACTAAAGTGTTCTCCACCCATGTAGTGAGGCAGGTAATTTTATCATTACTGGATTACTGAAGTGTAAGGTGAGACTGAGAGGGGGGTGAAGTTGTTTATCTGATGTCTCAGATCAAGTTAGTGACAGATCTTGTGGCTTCTATGCCCAGTCCTGTCTCTCAGGTCCTGATGTGAATCCATGCCAGCCAACCCATGCCAGTGTTTCTTATGCCTATAGAAATATATTTTTGATGCTCTGATGCTTTTTAAGCATAAGGACTGAATTTTGATTCTTGGTGGTTGGTGGTTCAGAATAACATTCCTAGTGTTCATTTCTGTCAAGTAAACATATTTGTTTTTCACACGAGTAAATAAACTTCCTGTGTTTTCTGTAAGAATTGACTTTGTGAATAAAAAAGGCAGAAAACAAGTAATTCAATTTTTTTCTTTCCGGGGAAATGCCTGACTGAAAGCATAGTGTGTAATAAATAATAAGTGCCTATTTCAGTACTTTTCTTTTGGTAGATTTTTTTTTTAATGCCTTGAGAGAAGGTGAATGTGTGTCTAGATTTGGAGTGTATGTTTTGCTGTTAATTTGGGGCATGGATTGTTATTGTTTGATAGGGAAGGAGACCACATATGCAAGGAGCCACAGGCAGGGTAACAGCTGATCTTGTGGGAGACACAGAGTGCCAGAGCTGTGAGGAAGGGAGTCTGACTCAGGTTCTGTATCAGGTGTCCTCAGTACATCCCTGTGCTTCAGCTCATAGAAAGTCATCTGGTCCACTGTGTCCTTCTCCTGACGAGGTCATCACAGTGTTCATTGTGCTTAGCAAGTGAAAGATTGAGTAACTAGTGAAGGCCAGAAGGAGTCCATGGCAGAGCTGTGAGCAGAAGCAGGGGATCAGATTTTCCAACTCCTTGTTTATAAATCTAGCTTGTATGTTTTTCACTCCTCTTCACAAGCAGATGTTCTAATGATCAGGACATCTGGTTTTGCATCTCAGGCCATAGTATAAATCCCCTCCAAATGCATGTGTACTCTTAAAAATGCAATAGTAATCTGGAGCCAATGAAATGGGACAGGACTAATAAAATCCCAGCAGGTCATAGATAGACTTGTGTTGCTAGAGTGAGTTCTTGGGGTGTTCAGTATTTTCTTCACTATCCCTACAGAAACAAGGATGATCCTTGGCTGTTCTGCCTGTGCCCAGCTGTGTGGGTACTTGAGTCAATAGGAAGTCATGCTATGCAGACAGTGCAACTGCCAGCTATGTTCTTGTTAGGTGGCAAATTGGATTGTGTAAGCTAGTGCTCGATGGTTTGTATCCAACCACTAATGCAGGTGGTATTTTGTGAGAGGAATAAACCTGTTCAGGTCTTGGTGTTGGGTTGTTGGACCTGCAGTTAACAACCCAGTGTTTCCTTGATATGCCTGGTGATTTAAAATAAATTTATTAGAGTATTCTATGTGAAGAATGTAGATGTGCTATTGGCTTTGCACTCTTAGGTTTGAGACGTGCTGAAGGCTTGAAGTTTCTTTTCAGGAGAGTGGGATCCTTCAGTGCAGTCGCAGCTGCTGTGTGAGGTGTTTTTCACTATGATTAAATGATTATCTTCTGTGTTATTTATACTCCAAGACCTTAGTATGTGTTTGATGTTGGTGTTTATCTGGCTCTGCAAACATGACCTTGCAGTTAAAACAAAGTAATTGCGCAAATACTTCCCTCTTATAAGATAATGCTGTGGTTGGAAATGTTGTAGCCTTACTGTCTGTCACTGATTAATTTTAAAAGCTGTACCAGTCTGCTTGCAGGAAGCCATGGTGCTTATTTTCTCAGCCTCAAGGCAACTGAATTGTAAAGCAGCAAGAACCAGGAAATCACAAATTCAAGATGAAAATTAATTAATTCTATTTAAAATGTTATGCCATTGGTATCTCTCCTTGCTCTTGACAGAAAATGTTTCAATAACTTGCATGGTTGATGATCAGCTGCTGACTATTAAACCAAATTGTTAAATCTCCTTGAATTGAGTCATAGTAAATGTGTGGGTGACAGCATGGAAGGCAGCCTGTTGCAGTGTGTGAAGTATGTGTCACTAACATTTGACAAAGGTGATCTTAGTGTCCTGTGGCAGGTGGGGGGACCTGTTATGCTCATTCCCACTCTTGAGTCAGTAGAATGGAGGAATTGCTACAGCAGCAGGACTAGCCTCTGGTAGCATCCAGGGATCAGCTTTGATGCCAGGGTTATTTGCTTGGAGAGGCTGCATGTTTCCAGCAACTTAGGTTTGCTCCAAGGGCTCATTTCTTCTGAGGGTGATGTACTCTTGTTTTGCTGATAATAGAAACCAAATGTGGCTGTTAGAGCCTGGCTGGTTTGACTTCAATTGTTCATGGATTGAGTGGGAGTAGGCAGTTGTGCCATGCCTCTGGAAGTCAGGCCAGGTATCATGCATGCTCAATAGGTGCTGTGAGCACATGTAATTAGCAGCAGGCTAGGGTTGACAGCCTCTGGGACACAATCTCTCTTCTGGCTATGGTGAGTGGGGAGAAGAAAGGGTAGCTGAAAAACTATCAGGGAGGGAAGAAGAGTATCCCACTCTGTGGAATTTTTCTTATCTCTTAAAAAAAAGAACACTTTGGATATCTTTATTGAATAATTTTGTGAAATAATTAGTTTGTTACTGTAAGCAATTCTTAAACTGATAGTATTACTGACTGCTGTTTGTAAGATTGATGGTGTGTCATGGGATATTTTTTGGTTTTTGTTTCTGGGGTTTTTTTCCCCCCCCACCTGGAGGTGGACAAAGCTGGACTTCTATAAACTCACTGGAAGAAGAAAAAAGATTGCTTACAAACTTAATCTCAGGGCTTTCTCTCTCCACTGGAAACTGTAAAGCTTTTATCTCTAGTTGATTAAATAGTCCTAGTTTTGGCAACTGCAAATAGATGATGAAAGTCAAAGATGATTGGAAATTATGTTATGTCTGGAAGCCCTATCTCAGGATTCTGAATTCACCTTTTTATCCTTTTTTATGCCCTTCATACTGGTATACGGTTCAGTTTAATATCCTTGGAAGAAGAAACCTGTGAAAGCCGTAAGTATTTTCCTACCTTAGTGAAGAAGGTAAAGGTGAATGAGGAGGCTAATGGAAAGGATCCTTGCATCAAAAGTGAGGGTGTTTTATCTGGGAATTCTAGTTTGTATTAATGAACAGTCAAAGAAAGTTCATGTATGCCAACAGTAAGAAGAATGCCCATGAAAAAAAACCTAAAAAAGTAAGTCCTTCCCTTGGAATGAAAAGGTAGGTGGAATGAGTGGAAATCAAATGAGCATCTCAGAAAATTGCTTGTATCTGGGAGGCTTCTTTAAGAATTTGAAAATGTGAGATAGCAAGTAGGGGTTGAAAAAAAGATAATAAGGCTTAAAAAGGCAATTGGTTGGAGTGTAAGTTGGCTGCCAGTTTAAAGAGCTGGTCAGTGTGAAGGAGTTTGAAAATAGAGGCAAATAATTGATACAGTGAAAATAAGCCTTTTACTTTTCATAATATAAAAGCAACTGAGGTTGCACAAGATGAAGAAAGTGTTTTGAATTTTTACATGCATGGATCTGGTTTCTACAAGAAAGAACTAGTCTGTGAGTGTGTGACAATATGTATGGCAAGAATACAGTAAGCGTATATGAATCAAACCTACAGAATGAGGGATGCAGATATGTATCACAATTTGGAAGATAATTTGTTGAAGCACAGATACAAATTGAGGCACTTTGGGGCTCAAGACAGGTAGGGTTAAATGAAATATTTATTGTATCTATAGTTGTTTGAATCTTCCTTCCACCTTTCTCTGAAGACTCATGCCATTCTTGGAATGGCTTACTGGGCTGGTTGAAGTGGGAATTGTCTTGGAGGCTGATATTTAAGGCCTTTTGACAGTAGCTCTCTCTTATGTTGTATACTTGGTATGTTGTTTCTTCTTATCTGTGCCTCCAAATATTTGGGTTGTGGAGGAGATATATCAATTCTCTTGACATTGGAGGAGGATTTTTGGCCTCCTTATTATTTGCTGGTATGAAGCAGTCTGGTAAGGAGGATGAGAATTGGTTAAATTAATTGCTATAGGTCTACAAAGAGAATAAAATAAAGAGAAAAAAATCCTTTAGGCACATTAATGCTGCATTTTGGTGTTTTGTTGGTTGGGCTTTTGTTTATTTTTTTTTTTTTTAATGCCCTAGCTTTAGTACAAATAGCTTTTGCTGTAGTTGTAGGACTGGCATGTTGTTTGTTTACCTGCCTGGAATCTCCAGAAACAGGTACCTTTTTTCAGCCCTGTGATAGCCCTGATTATACAGAAGCAGTGTTTTAACCTGGTAGGAAGACAGACTGCAGTTCTACCCAATCCTTGAACATGGGTGATTAGGCTAAAGGGGTTTTTTCCCTTTTGGTGCTGGGAATGTCTTTAGTGCTGTTGATGCAGCTCCAGACTGAGCACTGAGGTAGATCTCGTTGACATAAAATTTTGACCAGTTCTAAGCAAAGACTGCCAGTGGTGCCCTGTCAAAATAAGCTTTTGCCAGCTGCAGCAGTAGATAGTTCTCTATAATATTAATTATTACTATATACATATAAATTAGTCTAGAACCTGAAGATTAAATATAAAAGGTCAGAAAGAAAATACTTCAGATTTATGTGATATACTTATTTTTTTCTAGCCACTGGGAGAAAAACCATAAGAAAGGCAACATGGTTCAGGAAATCTGCATGGAGTTGGAATAGTGATATCCTTTTAATGAAAGGGAAGTCCCTAATGCAGAATGAGAGCTTTAAAAGTCAACTCTAGGAGATGGAAAAAAGATTTTTTGAAGTTTTTTTTTGGCCTTAGTTGTTAATTTACAG